AAGTGTTCAGAAATTTTCACAGAGTGAAAAGAAGGGAATTGGTAAAGATAGCCTTTTTTATATGCAGGCAGAGTGAGGGTCCATCGTTGGATTGGAAACAATGAAATCCCAATAGTACACTTGTCCTTCCATCCAACACTTTAAAACTAAGCTTGCCAACATTTAAATAAACGGTTCAGATGGCTTCGTGCTATGCATGTACTCAAGGTTCAAGTGATCTCTACCAGTTGTAACAAATCATCATCATTGCACAGTAAATGCGCACACAATATTGGACCATGCAGCTGTTGCACCTTGAAAACAAGCGATGCTTTCAAATCATTACAGTTCGTGCCCCAACAGGCTTCAGTTCCTCCAAAGGCCTGTCCTCTTTCAACAAGTTCACTTCATTTAGCTTTATTAAAAGCTTTAGTTGCTCCAATAGGCTCATCCTCTTTTAGCAAGGGCCTCGCTTCGCTTTATTCAGCCTTATTACAGGCTTTACTTGCTATAAAAGGTTCACCTTGTTTAGTAAGGGCTTCGCCTCACTTCATTCAGTTTTATTACATGTTTTCGTTGCTTCAGCAGGCTTACCATCTTTTAGCAAGGGCCTCGCCTCGCTTTATTCAGTCTTATTACAAGCTTCAGTTGCTACAATAAGCTTGCCCTATTTTATCAAGGGCACCGTCTCACTTCATTCAGCTTCGTTGGCACCGTCTCACTTCATTCAGCTTCGTTACAGACTTTAGTTGATCCAACAGGCTGGGCCCACTTTTAGCAAGGGTATCGCCTCGCTTTGTTTCATTCAACCTTATTACAGACTTCAATTGCTCCAACAAGCTCACAGTCTTTTAGCAAGGGCCTTGCCTCACTTCATCTAGCCTTATTACAGGCTGCAATTGCTCCAATAGGCTCGCTGTCTTTTTGCAAGGGCCTCTCTTCGCATAATTCAGCTTTATTATACGCTTTTGTTACTCTGACAAGCTCGTCCTCTTTTAGCAAGAGCCTCGCCTCACTTTATTTAGCCTTATCACAGTCTTTAGTTTTTACAACCAACTCGCCCTTTAGTTGCTACAACAGGCTCACCCTTGTTTAGCAAAGGTTTCGCCTGGCTCCATTCAATCTTATTACAGTTTTCAATTGCTACAATAGGCTCGTCCTCTTTTAGCAAGGGCATTGCATTGCTTTATTCAGCCTTATTACAGATTTCAATTGCTCGAACAGGCTCGCCCTCTTTTGGCTAGGACTTGCCTCATTTCATTCAGCCTTATTACATGCTTCAATTGCTCTAACAGGCTCGCCATCTTGTAGTTAGGGCCTCATTTTACTTCATTCAGCCTTACTACAGGCTTTAGTTACTCCAACATGCTCGCCCTTTTTAGCAAGAGCCTCGCTTCGCTTAATTCATGGCTTTATTATAAGCTTCAGATGCTTAGCTTATCCTTTTTTAACAAGGGCCTTGTCTCATTTCATTTAGCCTTACTACAGGTTTCATTTACTTCAACAAGCTCGCCCTTTCATGCGTGGGCCTTTGCTTTTGCTCCATTTTAGAGACTATTGTTAAACTACGCCTTTTTTTTTCACCACCAACTTAAAAGTCCACGCATTATAGGAATCATCATATATGGACTTTAGGAACTATTGTTACACTACACAGTTTTTTCTTCGCCACCAACATAAAAGTCCACTCATTATGTGAATAATCATACATGGAATTTAGGGACTATGGTTATGCCTTGCTTCATAAGGCCCCAAATATCCTACATGGTGAGCAAAGGTAGGGCCCCACACTGCACCAAAATATATTATCATACGGCTGATCTGATTGAACCCCTTTCTATGATTGAACCAATATACTTGCCGACCTCATCAAATCATACTGATCCCATGGGGAAGAGCCAGTTCAAGAGTAGATGCGAGGCTACAGAAGGAGCTCAGCATAAGAACTCCTAGGCCAAACTTTTTGATACGTGATTGATGTGACAATTCACTGTCGTCGCCACCACTACCAACCTATCTGTCAAGTCCAAAGCCGCGAGCTAGACATTATGGATGCTAAATTAGTAATAGCATTTAAGGCTTACGATTGATTAATGTCTAAAATAAGAGACATCAGCCACATGGATGAAGTCACATGTCTCTCCACCTAACGACCCTTATTCATCATTTTTCTACTATAAAAGGTCACACTTAGTGCCATTTGAAGAGTAATGCAAGTTTAGACTTTAAAACTAAAAATTTACCATATCATTGTCCTATTTGTTATTCTCCAAAGCCAAAACCTTTTTTATGTTGAAGGCTCACATCTAAAGCTCTCCCACACCCATATATTTTTCTTCCCCAATTGACTTAACCATTGGAGTGCGCGCAACAACTCCACCCCCATCGGAGGAGGCCACGTGTGGCTAACG